GGTTCGCATGGTTTATGAAGAACTGATATTATTTTGTATTTGACTTTTTTGTATCGAGCACCAGGACACTCTGTATAGTCTATCACGTCATAAGTCGATAACAATGGCGTACGATTCGAATAAAAGTTTTTAAAATCAGATAGAAAATATACCTACGTAAGAAGTTATTAGAGAAATTGCTTGTACAGTTCGTATTAACTTTCATTGTAGACAAAACACTACACTTTTTTTTATGTAAATACCCCATTGTGGATAATTTTCAAAGAAATGTACACAGACAGAAAGAAGTTTGTTCAGAAAAAGTTGGAATGCATGAGTGTATTTCATTGTACGAAGTGCTTCCGTAAATAAAGCCAAAATTCAGCAAAAAAGCAGGTCATTTTAGATTTTTCATTTTATAACTCAGTAATCATATAAAATACATTTATAAACTTAACTGCTAGAATACATTCCTTATTTTTAAATGGGATAGTTAAAAGAGTTCTAAATCAAAAAATCCAGTATGTGAATTCACCGTAAAGCTCTTTAAGAAAATGATATAAAAACGACACGACCAAAAAATTTTGAAGATATCTTCAATATAATAAGCCACCCTGATACAAGAAATCATTATAAAAATGGTAAATTAAAAATAAAAACCAACGTACGTAATAAAAAAATAACCTGACTATATTTCATACTTCTGTTACTTCACAGCGCATTATTTAAAAATACTCCAGGAATCAAAATAGATTAAATAGATGTTCAAAATCCAATTATAACACTGTCAATGATGTATTTACATAATGACGTTTTTAATGATTCAAGCCAGTGAAACTTATTTAGTTTGCCAATATTATGCTAATTAATACATTATTATAAATAAAAAAAACTTGCATTTCAAATTACCTACAAATTACACATAATTGCGCCACCTAGTGTAATGACTCATAATTACACTAGCACCAGTGCAAAATTATTAAGTAATTCCGCTCCAATAGGTTAAAAATAATAAAATACACGAGGTCTCACCTGATGAAGAAACATCCAAGGTTAGTTATAGAGGATGTCTCTAAATTATGACACTGAACTGAAACGGAAACAGGAAACTTTCTTTTAAACAAAAAGTTTCCCGTGAATGTGTATCCTAAAATATTTAATAAAAAGTTACAGGGCGATAAAGGAGCACTGCCGCAAACACATTTTTAAATAACTCCAAAATAACATAAAATCCAAATTAATAATGGCAACAGATTTATTATCATCTATTGAGCTTATCACATGAATAGAGTTCGGGATTTTCGTTGGCTAATCATATGCGCGTTCGTCGTAAACAAATAAACAAACAGGTAGGTATAAATAAAAATAAATATGTTTGTGTATTTTATCAGCAAAAGGTCGTTTTTTACCCCTTGGTGAGTTCAACATTATTAGAATATTAAAACAGGTATACACGAAGCAAACGCAAAGCCAATAACTGTCGGTATTACCGGTTTCGTACGTGGCGCTGTAGCGAAAGACCGACGCGACGGCTATGATCATCCGACCGAGTCCCGAACTCTACTAATGAGGGAACCATTTTTTCTGTATTCGCAGGGGCGCAGATTTATTTATTTATTATTTAATTGCAATTTAAAAAAAATGTAAACGATATTTTCGATAGAATATTTTTTTCTGAAAAAGGTGTACACGAAATACAAATGCAGATCACAGGGACTAGTAGGACAATTAATACTATCGTTTAGTCAGCAGTGATTTTCTCTAAAACGATTAGTTGTATAAAAAAAAATGTAAAGAGCATTGCATTACTGATTAGATGGTGGGTAAATTTAATTTTTTTCACGGTAAATAGTTAATAAAATTTGAAAATATGTGTGCATCAGCCAATATCTCGGAAACGTTGGGTCTGAGAGATTTCGACCAAGTATACCTTTCTTGCTTAAAATTGATAGAAGAAAAAACGCACTAATACGAAACGTCAATGTAGGTACAGGCTAGTAAAAAAGTTATGGTCAATTTAATTCAAGCGTACCACTATAGGCGGCGCCCTCTACAGGCAGCGTCAAAACCAATGATATATTTAAATTTAGCATCCTAAAAAACCCCCGTACCCCATGTTTTTTGCCAACATTCAAATTTGTTTGGGAGTTATTCCCAAAAAATAAATAAATAAATAAAATAGAAAACTAAGCATTTATGGACCCACGTTTACAGAAAAAAAAGTGTTATTTTGACCTCAAAAATAAGCCCCTAAATTATTTGTACTGAATTTTGAATCACCCTGTGCCTGTATATAGTTATCTAGCACCATTTTCCAGAAAATTGGTAATCAATATTTTTATGCATTTCGATTATACAGCTTCTGTTTAAAAGTGCTACGCATTACTTTCAAACTTTACTCATTAATTACTGTTATTTAGGTGCTGAAAGTAACATTTGAAAAAAAATAGCTTTTATAACAAAAAATGTTATCAGCTTTTTTCTTCTTACTTTTAATCGGTACCATGTATCAGCAAAGTTTGAAAGGAATCTATTTTCTGAAAATTTTACACTGTCGATATTGAATAAAAGTATTCTTAGTCTTTTCAGATTTTCTTTCAGAAAAACGTATGATTTTATGTAGAACGTCACTGACAATTTTTTTAGATAAAATTCTAAATTACTCCTATATTGTAACAGCCACTATATATGAAAAAAAACTATTACTGACTGTTGAAATCGAAAAGTTTTATTTGTATCTGATCAGCCGTTTTTGGAACTACATATTAAAATAAAAATGTATTTTTGGTAGTGCACTTTATGATCTTGTAACTTTTTTTACTAAGTTTGAAAACAGCAGCCAGAGATAGCAACTAAAACCTACAAATTTACCGGAATGGCGAAATACGATTGTACGTATCAAAAAATGGGAAGCATTTTCTACATGTTATATTCGCGGTCCCATTGTTAGTAGTACAGCTAATTAGTTTTATTAAAACACACGAAATTTAGGTAAAAGTACACAGAAAAAATTAAAAACAGTATGGATGCTACAAGAGACCAGAATAATAAAAGAAAAACCATATGGTATATACGTTTACCGGTCTATATTCATAGGAAACTTTTTGTTCAAATTTCCTGTTTGAGATTGGCACCATATTTTAGAAATATTTTGAAATATTTTTTTAAATCATTCCAAAACCAAAATAATAACTATTAAGATCTCCAAACTTTAATTTCTTCAAGGAAGCATAAAATAATTACAAAATTCGTACAATTTTCTCAATCATTGTATTGAACAATATACAGGCTGTTACAAATTCGTTTCTCACTACAGTGATCTCGGAAACGGTAAGAGCTACGAAGTAGCTTAAATGGGGCAAAGTTGCGTAATCAGGGGACCAACATTATGCCTCTAAAAAATCAAGGCTAACATGATTAGTTTTCGAAATATTAAAAAAACGAAATTTTGGAAATCCGTTTTAGTTTCTTTTCAGCCTTGTTTGAGGTGATATTGAAAAAAGAACACTTTCTCATGGCCACTTTTTGCCCTCTATCGAATGGCATAATCAATTTTTATATGTAACGTTTCGTCTCTCCAGGACCATCATCAACTTCATTTTTTTAAATACGACCCTAGAAATTTTATTACATTTTTTGCAAGCCTTCATGACCCCCAATACTGTACTGCCTCAGCCCGAACCAGATTCAGACGTTTTGTCTCGAAAAATTCATCTTCAGTGTATTCGTTCCAAATTTATCTAAATTTTTTATTTAGATTTCTTTGTTTATTGAATTATCGTACACTGTAAGTGTCGTTAGACCCTGTGAAATCCATCTAGTTATTTAAACTATTACCACCACGCATTAAAATAAAACATTATTAGAGTTTTATTCCCGTGTCCATAGTTATTTCTAGGCTTCTCGAGTGCTCAAAATTCAAACAAATTCCGATCTATTTTTTTCAGGATATTCATACAAATACATCTGACATGCTCTTTCACAGTTGCGGTTACAGATATAATAAATTCCGATAATATTACGCTGATCTTCATTTTCAACCTTTGCCAAAACGAAAATGTTTTTGAACATTTACTGAAATTTTTTAAAGAATAATATTCAGTTGGCGTTTTGGTTGTTCATATGCATTTTTAAGAATTAATTTGTCATAATAAAATTAAAATTGTAATAATGTTTTAATTTTGACGCAACAACTTATTGAGTTATGTATGACCAAGTGATGGTAATAGTTAATAATAATAAATGTTTTATTGTAACGCGTGGTGGTAATAGTTTAAATAACTAGATGGATTTCACAGGGTCTAACGACACTTACAGTGTACGATAATTCAATAAACAAAGAAATCTAAATAAAAAAATTAGATAAATTTGGAACGAATACACTGAAGACGAATTTTTCGGGACAAAATATCTGAATCTGGTTCGGACTGAGGCAGTACAGTATTGGGGGCCATGAAGGCTTGCAAAAAATTTCTAGGGTCGTATTTAAAAAAATGAAGTTGATGATGGTCCTGGAGAGACGAAACGTTACATATACAAATTGATAATGCCATTCGATAGAGGACAAATAGTGGCCACGAGAAAGTGTTCTTCTTTTTTCAATATCACCTCAAACAAGGCTGAAATGAAACAAAAACGGATTTCCAAAATTTAGTTTTTTTTTTAAATATTTCGAAAACTAATCATGTTAGCCTTGATTTTTTAGAGGCATACTGTTGGTCCCCCGATTACGCAACTTTGACCCCATTTAAGCTACTTCGTACCACTCACCGTTTCCGAGATCCCTGTAGTGAGAAGCGAATTTGTAACAGCCTGTATATTCGTAGTCGTTTTCAGAAATTATAAAATACATATGCTAATGTTTTGTTGTATTCAACATGAAACAGAGTTCAGTATTCCACAAACCTGTAGATATAAAACTGGCCATCATTCTTGTTGTTTGGCCTTGGATTAAAAATAATCATAAAAAAACATTAATTTAACTCTGCATTATAATTTAAAAAAACATGCACAATACTAACCCACTAAATGGCCTTGGTATATGTGGGAAGTGTCCACGTCGATCTGGCCTTGGGGCCCGTGCACCTCCAGCGAGTCACTGAACACACTCAGGTCCCTTTTCAGCCGTAATCGGAAATCACGGCTATGGGCACGAAACGATAAATGAACGAAATTGTCTCTAACAACTGATCTCTTCGCTCGGACGTGAGCCCTGTGAACGTCCGCCGTGTCGTAATTGAGGGGCTCATAGTGACTTATGTACTCGTTCAGTCGTTCTGCTGGAACAAAAAAAGAAAAAATCATCATTACAGGCTTTACAGACACTGATTGCTCTTCCATACATGGCATTTTCAGTTTAAACACACATACATACAGGACGTTTACAAATATATACAGGGTGTTTTGGTAGAATGCATTATTCATTTTTATTAATATGGTTGAAATTGCAAAATAAATGACAATCAAAACTGTTAGAATTTATTGAGAACCTCTGGAATTGTCCCCGAGTTACATACTGCATAAAAAAGGTGGATATTTGTGGACGTAAATGGCGTATCTTCCATTTCTTTGTTCCATTTTTGAAGTAAACAGAAACATTGCTAGTTTAATTTTAGGTAATCATTAGTTCTACTATTCATTATTGTGAAATTATTAGTGAACAATAATTTATTATTTGTCTAAAATCCTATTACAATTGTTTTCTTTTTGTAAAACGATACTCTATATGTTACACATAAAAATGACCTATCAATAAGTAACATTGAATTAATAGAAACATGGTGACGATAACGTAAGGAAACGCTAATGCAAATCGTGAGTTAATTACACATCTTTATGTATCGGGTGTCCCAAAATTCACGCAAGATTTGAATCTAACGCCATTTGTGCGGTAAAGTGTTGCCAACGGAAAAAAGACATTGTGACAGCTGACAGTTCAAGGTTATTAAAAACTAAAAAAAGTGCTACACCATTTCATTGAGCAATATTTTAAAAATAATGAAGGTTTGGCAGCTACACTTCGCAATTTTTATACAAAATATGATCGAAATAGTGATTTAACTTCATCAGTTGTGAAGAGATTAATTAAAAAATTCAGGGAGACTGATTTAATTAGTGGTCTCTGGCCGTTCTTCAACAAGTCGTTCAATACAAAATATCGAAGCAGTTCGTGAAAGTGTTGCTGAGAGTCCAGGAACATTAATTCGACATCATGGACTTTTCGTGATACTCTCTACAGCGCCAGCGTATTCTCAGATAAGATTTGCATATTCATAGCTACAAAATTCAATTCAATTCATATTCATAGCAGCAAAAGAACTGAAGCACACTGACCATGCAGAGCGAAGAGAGTTCGCTGAATAGATTATATTATGGAACAAGTGGATGCTGATTTTTCGAACAAAATTATCATCAGCGATGGGGCTCATTTTCATCTTGATGGCTTGATCGACAAAATTGTTGCACTAAGAAGCAACTGCATCCGCAACATATCACTGTTTGGTGCGGATTTTGGGCTGGAGACATCATAGGACCATTCTCCGAAAATGCGGCTAGTCAGGTAATAACGGTTAATATGCTCGCTATCGCAACATGATAATCCAATTTTTTGTGCCTAAATTGCAAGATATGGACGTAGACGATATGTGGTTTCAACCAGACGGTACTACATGTCATACACCGCGAGAAACAATCCAATTACTGCATGAGTCACTTCCTGGTTGTATAATTTCTCGTTTTGGTGATCAGAGACGCCCAGATCATGCGATTTAATACCGTTGGACTTTTCTCTATGGGATTTTTTGAAGTCTAAGTCATGAAAATGTTCGACAAAAAGGTGCATAAGTGCCAGCAAAGTCGTGGAGACCATTTATCCGATATGTTATTATATTCATAACCCTATACCTACTATATATTTCATGAATCTATATCAAATTACTTCTTGTGTGTATGTTGGGTCACCTTATATAACTACTTCCAAATAGGCTCACACACCAATACTTGTAAATGGAAGCACAGTTACTGATATCAATGTATCGGTATTAAAAAATATAATTTTATTTACAAAAAATATTTCTACTAACCGAGTTTCTGCACCTCGATTTTTTTACTCTGCAAATATCCTCTCCAAATTTGTAGACACCCTGTATATATATTAAACATTTCATTTAACAAATGAAAGGGCAGCAGAAAATGCGAATAAAGTTGTTTCCCATATCTTTTAAAAGCTGTTTTGCACACAACAATTTATTGAACAATAAATTGACAATTTACTTTTCAACAAATTAATTAATTTAACAAATTATCGAAGACCACTTTACACGTTTCAACAGTTACAACAATTTATTGGCCAATTTCATTGATGCCAATCTCGAACTTCATTATTTGTCAACTCTCAAACTCAAATTATCATAATTGGGCTGACATTTAAAAAAAATAAAAAATGTAATTAGATTTATTATTGAAGTCAATAAATTGTAATAAAATTTCTGTTTTAGGGTCGTACGGTCGTATGAAGTGTCATACTAACTTTATAGTGATACTAAAGTTAGAACTAATTTCAGTAATTAACTAAGAAACTTTTTAATCTTCCAAATTGCAACAATTTTTGTTGCAATTTGAGTTAGATACTGTGCAAGATTAATAAGTTCTTAGTTAATTGAAATTGAAATTAATTCTCATCATAGTACCCTTACACTTCATAAAATAATTGAAAGTCGACTTGTTCAATTTATTGTTCAATAAATTGTTGTGTGTAAAACAGCTTTAATACTTTCAAAAGATTTGCGAAAAATATGTGACACGTATTTCGTCATAGCTTGATTTTCTATTGTTTTATGAAAAAAAAGGTACAAAATGTAGGATGACGTAGGTTACATATTAGAACTATTTGTTAAACAACTGTAAAGACAAATACACAATGGACTATATTCCAGCTTATAATTTGTCAATAGATTGAGATAGCGTTGGCGTTTGGTTGAAACTAAATTCAATATTGTACATTATTAATTTACTATTAGCACTGTAAATGTAGGTAATGAAGGCTTGAAGCTTTAAAAAAAACGTCATCAATCACCCACTTTAATGAGGAGTTCCAATGGTACTTTATAAGTATATAAAAGCAGTAATTATGCTATTTATACTTTACACCGTTCCCACTACTCTAAATGCTTGCCTCTAGGAAAATAAAGACTAATTTTCTACAAATCAGTAATTTTTTTATTACTTTAAAAAATTTTTATTTTGATAATAATGCAAAACGAGTGGCTGTTGCTGTTGTTGCGGTTCTAAAAACGCGGCCCGATTGCAACAGCATTCAGGTCTTGTGACTCATGACTCGCTAGTAAAAGTTTTAAAAAAGGTCTGTTGAAGGCAGGCAGTAATTATTCTGTTAATCTCTTTGATATCATGAGGTAACTGAAATTCTGCTCCCACAAATATGTGTCCTACGCCGCACGACGGTATTCAGCCCAATTCTATTGAGATGATGTAACAATTCTGGAGTTCTGCTTAGCATGCTAATTTTCCGATTTGCTTCAGCCCATGGACCCTTTATGAAACCTGATGCAAATCAGATCCGTCTGACCATACTTCTGTTGATCGTTTTTTTATCCAATTACCAATTAACCAATAGACCGATTGGATTTTCACATATTTACTATACTGTTTATAATTACTATGCGCGCGCATATTTCTTTATCTTTATCTTCTTTCTTTATATTTTCTTCTCTTATCATATTAACCCCCTAAGTAAAATGACGCCTATAAATAGTTACATATGCAGTTTACCAAATAAAAGTATACTAAAAACTTCGCCTTGACACGTGCACAACTTGTTTCATGAATTATATAGGGTGTTTCTGAAATAAGTGCGTTCTTGGAAAAGGGTGACAGTAGGTTCGAAAATGAGCAACTCTTATTAAGCAACTGATGGTCTAAACCCTTCTGTTTTCGACAAAATTAATTTAAAAAATGAACCATAAATGTAAGCTGATCCTGTGCACCTTGTGCACGTGCACGTCCTGAACGCCTCGGACTCGCTACATGCGTGAAGCGCTTCTCTAATTGGCTGACGTTCCACGTGACTCCACAATCAAGCAAATCAAGGTCAGTGTTCTCGTGTGTTCTTTAGTTGTGTGTTGCAGTATTACTTAGCCGGCGTATAAAGTGTTTTCTGATCAAGGACTAGCAGGTATTGATGTAGGGAGATTGTCAGTACAATTTAAATGAGACTTGTCGTTTGTATGCGGTCCGTTACCGAAGCAGACGACAACCTAACAGTAGAAAAGTACAAACGGCAGTTCAAAGGTTACGGGATACCGGGAATGTCCACCTGACATATGAAGGTCGTGGAAGGGAAAGGCCGCAACATGTTCGACAACGAAAAAAACATCATAAACCTCGTTGAGGAAGATCAGAGGCGCAGTACTCGCGACACTATGCTTTACAAAGGATTCGGGTATTAAATAACAATGATTTTCAGCCAAGTGTGGAATTTTGACAATGGTTTCGACATCAAATAGCACAAGATCCGGATTTTAAAGCAAGGTGGCTTTTACGGATGAATGTTGTTTTTCATGTGAATTTTATTTTTCAATTTAAAACATAATGTTTTATTTAAATCATCAGTTACTTAATAAAAGTTGCTCATTTTCGTGCCCTCTATCACCCTTTTCAAGGAACATATTTATTTAAAACACCCTGTATAATTGCCATCATAGTGAAGCGGCATTTTTCGCGATATATTTTCAATAACTCTGCTGTTGTTTCTATTCTAAAGCCGCTTTTAGTTCATTTTTTGTTACTTTATTAGTATGTTTTAATATAAAAAAATACCTACAATGTACCTTCTTAAAATAAATTGAAACTTCACTAAGCCTAAATAATATCTGAGATGACAAATTTCAACAAAATAACAATTTGGTCTATACAAATACCCATAATAATTAAATCGTTTAGAAAGAATATTTAACGCCAAGATAATCGTCTAATTTGTAATCACCTGGGAAATAAAGGTACAAAATCATAGGCTGAGTACATTAATGTTGCAATTTCTTATTTTTCTAGGCAACAGGTACATGTATATTTCTAAAAATAATAAATTTTAACTTTCTACTTATAAAACTAGTTTGATGCGAAATTTTGATATCAGTTAAGTGTTACTAGTTACTATTTCCATACAGTTAAACTAGTTTGAGAAAGTTACTACACTGCATTCTGTTATATTTTTTGTAGGAAAAAAATATTATAAACGTAAAGTAAATTATGCATTGCTAACTTA